GGTATCTGCGCACTGAGATGTGAAAACGAGTCGTGTAAAAAACAAATATTAAATAAAAATTTCTCTAACAGCTGTGAGCGGAGAAGACCTGCAACCTGTGCTGGCTTTGAACTTGCGATAAACCGCCAGGTTCTGAATTTTGCTCGTTTATCTGCACTCCTACTCTTATATTTATACTAAACATTGCTGATAGAAGAGTTATGGAGAAAAAAGTCAGGAAATCTCATTTCAATCATGGTTTTAGGTCAACTAGATTTTTGTGCCGATTTATACTCCCTATATAAACCCACGGACCTTGCTGACAGTCACTTAACAGGTTAACATGTTACTGAGGCAAGGGCAATGCGAGGACTTCTATGGTGGTAATTTTGCTCTTATCTCAAGTCTTGTTATTTATTCTGGATTAAGGTCATGTGGTGTTTTTCGTGAAATCACATCGGCGATTTTACGATATAATGGAATTGTCTCTCTAAAAAAGTCGATTATTTTGTCATGCCCGTCACGCATACACATATAAATACATACATAGTATATATGCATATACATATATATGTGTTTATACATATATATACGTACATATATATATATATACATATGTATATAATATGTACGTATATCCACATGCACAAGCATCACTCATGCGTACAGATATGTGACATATGTGCACGTAATGTGTGACGAATAAATAGCGAATAATGAATGACTAGACCGTCAACAAACTATTTTTCTATCATCATCATTTGTCAAACTGTTCCATGTATCTGAACGTTTTAATCCATTTTCTTTATATTTTCTCTATAAATTCGTAATTAATGGCTTCATGTGGTCAGAATGAAGAATCTTCTTGTTTTTAAATATTTGTGGATCTCAAGTCAGAGCTCATTGTGGACGAAAATTGATTATAGTGAAGGATGAGGATGTCGTTACGATACCATTTGTTTGGTGTTCAGCTGCGATCCATCCCATCGTTGCGCTTTTTCATCTTCCAAATCTTTTCTTTGTCAACCCATTCCCCCCTCCTCTCATTAGTTCAAAGACAGCGTTTAATGACATTGTCTATTTTTCATCCCAAACAGAAAATTCTTTCAGATTGTCTGTTTTAGTGTTGTTTTTCTGACCGACGATATTTCAGTCTACAAATTGAAGATAACGAGAAACACGTCGTAAGTCATCATTTCTGGTAAATCGGAGGATATTTTGGTCTTTCATTCTTTGTCGTTTACGAAGAGACATCACTGTATCGGGAAAGAAACGTGTTTGCTATAGAAATCGAAAGCGTTCAGCCCTTATTACTCTATGATAACGATACAACTTGGCACTTTGTTGATCCGTCTTCACAGTGTTTCTTTTTTCACTGTGCGGATCCCAGAACTTCTAGCATTTGATTCGTTTTTCGTGTTCTTGAACGCCGTAGAATGCTGATTCAGCACGTCTCCTAGCAACCTCGAGGATAGCCAGGCTGGGGAGCTCGTTGTTGACTACCGCGAAATGTTGGGAGGGGGGGGGGTGGGGGGGGGGCGGAGATTAGCTCGTGCGTGCTGCGACGAGCATCACAACCACTCGGACACGCGCCCCTATGATAGTGATATGTTATTTATTTAACTCAATTTAGGCATCGCAGAGGTGAATGAATGCCTGTTTGGCCCATACATAACTTGCAGGACTATGTCTCAACATCCTATTTCTCAGACAACTCTATTACTAATTTCCGAATCGCAGAGATAAATTCTAAAGCATTGGTCAGCTCGATTTGTGGGGTTGAGTCAAAAACGTCATGTTCATTGCAGGACACATCTAGCCCCTGTCCTACACCTTAATCACCTTTCAAATTTTCCTTATCGAGGCATTTTCACGAGCTTGATATATCTTCCCCTAAATCAATGGCTGACATTTCGGCAACTTTGCCGCTTTACTCAAAGAAGTTTAAATACTTTGAGCAAACGACAACACACTGGTGGCCTTTTCCATTTAAGTAGGAACCAGGAAGATAGAAAATGTTAACTGAATTTTTAGATTATAGTACGCCTAAGCTCTGAGGACGGAGAAGTCGCCGAAACGTCAACCATCGATTTCTAAAGAAGATATGCCACCCTCGCGCAAGTTCCTAAAAAGTGACAGTTTGTGAGGTAGTTTTCATCATTTCCGCCGAGATTTAGAGGAAGTCGGTTTTTCGATCTGCAAACTCCATCATTGCGAAAAGCATGGATAATATATTTGTTCAAAAGTGTTGTGTGACAAATCTGAGAACTCACTGATTGTTTACTATTGGACGACGACAACAACGACGAGGAGAAGCAGAGAGATTCAGGAGTAGCGGCGTGCAGTTCCGAGCAATATATTCTTACGCTGAAGGGTAGCGACCGCCAATTGAAAGTTTCAGAAGGAAAGCATTTGAAAGTAATGGAAATAAAAAACGACAGCAGTGGCCAACGCATGATTCGATGGTGCTGTTTAATGAATTTAACTAAAATGGAAGATCCGCTACAATTGTTCACACGACTGTGAATTCGAAAGCTCTTATTTTCTCGCTTCGTAAAGCTCGTATTCACTTTCCATTGAGTTCCGTTAACTTAATATCAGATTCTATCTATCATCCTCTAAGTGCTAATCGTAATCACGATTGGCTCTATGTGTGCTGCTGATCAACTAGTAAACATTTCCTCTCAAGTGTAGCATGTACGTTCATCATTTCACTTCAGCTCGAAAGAGGTGCAGGCTATCATTGGCGCGGATGTTAGACGTTTTCGGACAATTTTTCAACTCACATCGCCATCGTATCGATGAAACGACAACACTACGACGAGACGAACCAAGTAAATGTCGTCGATTGCATCGTCATTGACGATCAGCAACATGATGTCATCGGGCAAATTTGCTTGACATCAACCCAACGAGACTGCGACACGACAACGAAACGAAACGAAGCGAAACGAATGAATGCCGTCCATGGCCGTGTCAACGACGAACAGCGACAAGTGTCGTCGCTAAATAGCAAACATTTTCACTAAAATGGATATGTGTGTACCTTCATTCTGAAACACTCAGAAGCAGTCAGAATCTGATCCAATCCGCTGTCGGACCACTTCTCCTTCAGCACGTCATACTTCGGCGAGACGACGACGAAACGAGGCGAAGAGAATGAATGAATGCCGTGATCCCTCCGTTTCGACTTCCAATTAGCGACGTGATCGTCGTCATTAGGCGGGTTCTCGGCTTTTCGTCGCTCAGCGCTCGATCGGTCGGTCTCGTCTGTCCGCCATCGGTCGGTCGCTCGACCGCTGCTTCAATGCACACCTGTTTATACACGACTTGTTGTCACTCTACTTAAATCGCTAACATTTGCTCAGTGTCATCTCATCCGTCATCATATCCAGATCAAGTGATCCTTCTGCTTTTTCTTCATCGCTATCATTCCAGCTGCTTCATTACTCATGTTTTCTTCTTTCGTTTTGCAACAAATACCTCGTCTTCCACAATACTGAAAAAAACGCTTATTTGAGCATTTGAGAGAACTGAGAATATAAAAAAAGTAAATTGAGAAAGATGATGAATGAAAGACATCTGGCCTCTTCAGGTTAAGTTATTCTGTGTCACAGACAACGACAAAATCAACGTGACTGATAATATTCATCCGAAATGAATCGTTTAATCAGAACAATCAGGTGTCACATAAGTAATCAGTGTAGAAATTTGGATTTGATAAAAAAAAATTAGGTCTTCAACCCTTTCGGGACCGCGTGTACCATGAATGGTACCGCGTCTTTTCGTGATTTTCTCGTCGCGCACAGATTTTTCGCTAGACTTTTGGTAGTCACTCCATAGTTGAAAGGATTGCGGTTTTGATACCGTGCTTGATTTATGAAAAAGTCTATTTAGTGAGCTGTAGCAACGAATATAAAATTACGTTTTTTTTTCTCCGGAGTGAGTTTTTAACTCGTGCTTGCTAGGCTTTTTCACCAGACGAAGAATTCTACCGAAGTTTCGGTAGTATTTCGATAGCTTGAAAATGACGATTCTGATTGGAACTTAATTTCTGGATCAATTCCCAATCACAGGTTTTTACTGCGCTGTAGTAACGACGAACAGAAATTACGTTCCGCTCTCGAAATGCTTTGTGTGCTCCGCTATTGTTTATGCTTGGTTTTTCAGTCAAATAATAGTATTCATTCGACAGCTTGAAAAATGACATCTCTAACATTTATCATTGAAATTTATTACTCTCATTGCATTTATCATTAATTTCTCCAAATTACTAGAATTTAGGATTTTTATCATTCAAGTTTATAAAGTTGCAATTGTGCCGCTTTTTTTGGGAAATCTATAATGCGCTGTTGCAACCGAAAAAAAAAACCACATTTCACACTTTGTATAACCTGTTGCTTGAACTTCGTAGCAGGATTATTGATACTTTATAATAAAGTTCATACGCTAAAGAAAATCTGTGATGTGAAAAAATGATATGTTACTGAAAAGTTTTCTGTAAAGGCCTTGCTTAATAAGAAAAAGGACTCCCACGTATCCCAAAAATTCCTACTCTTCATTACAAAAGTAGCATTTATGGGTCGATAACGCATTAAAACTTCTTATTGCTCATTTTTTGACCATATTGTAAAAGTAAATTCAAAGAAGAACATCTCCCACAATGTATGACTTTTGGAAAAGATTTCATTTTGTAACTTTTGTTATGTAGTCGTATGAGCCACACTCAACAATTCACATAAGTCCAGCAAACAAGGGAGCTATAACGCGCGGCGCGTTGAAGCATGATTTTATTTTTAGTGCTACAACGTTGTAAAAAAGCCTTTTTATGAAGCAAATGCATGTTTGAAATCTTCAATATTCGAACTCATGAATCATTATCGGTGGTCGAGTAGAAAAATTTTGTCTGGTAGAAGAGATTTCTCAGAAATTCTCGCGCGATAAGGGGAAAGTACCAAACCTAGTCACATCGAGTTATCAATCAATTGTGTGCAAAAACTTTTGCGTCAGCTGAGATTCGAGCGTTGATAGTGCAACGGTTCAGCACGCGTCCCCGGATGGGGTGAAATGTGGGTTCGAATCCCAGTTGGCGCAAAAGTTTCTGCACATTATTCTACATCTTCAGGTATATTGTAACATCATACCACCGCTAGAGGGGATCAAATAAAGTGAATCTGCTTTATCAATGAATTGGCATGCATGCGCTATACAACATCTTTTTTTAACGAGCTATTCATTGTATTCTGTCAAAGGTTGGTGGCTGATAGCTAACATTGAAATGTTGAAGAATGAGTGGTCGGGCAAATGTGCTTCAGTGGTGTAGTGGTAGAGCACGCGTCCCCGGATAGGATAAAACGTGGGTTCGATTCCCGCCTGAGGTCGTGTTTTTGCTCACCACTCAATTCTCTTAGGAATACTATTCATTGTTTTTGAACTTTGTAGTCACTATTAAATTTTTGACTGTTGTATGTAGTAAAAATATATCAAAACTGATGGATTCATATTATCACATGTCTTTGTCCACTTATTTTAAATGGCAAAATATCAACACACTATAATTGCTTAGCGAAAGAGAGCTTTTCATTCACACATATGCGTTATCTTTGCACCAAAAGCATACGGGTGGATGGAAAAATCATGGACTATTGAAGTATCACAGGAAACCCTAGAATCACATCCGATGCGGTGAGAAAACGCTAATTATGTAACCAAAATTGCGCACTTGTGGCAAATCGCACTGGACGGGGCAATTTCAACTGTGGACGCGAAAGGGTTCAATGGTTACAATTTTTTTCCACGATTATGTATAGTAATCGATATCATCGTAAGAAAAATCCGACCGCTTAATTTCACTAATCGATTCATTTCCTCTTATTAGCATAAAATTCAGTTCCTAAATAACTATCGACGTCAGTAATTTCCTGACTTTTTCTGAAAATTGAAACATCATGTCCAATAACAACAGGGCAATTAGCAGGACCGACTTTTTGCTATTCCATGTTATTCATTGTGCGGACACGGAGTTCTTCAAAAAAAAAATCCAAAAAAAATTTATTTATACAACGATGGGTGACGTTGCGGGCAGCGTCTCGCCTTCTCCAGAGTCTAGAAAATATGGAATTGACATGCATTTCATTCAGTCAAACACTTTTATCCATTCTTCTAACAAGAAGATAAGTTCACTGATATAGCTTACTAAGGTTCCTCATTCGAGCGGTGCTCCACCGGAGAAGATTCGACTTTAACGACTACGAAGACGAAGGTCCACAGTGAGGACCAATGACTGTGGAGCATCAAATCGAATAATCGACTCTGAAGAAGACGAAGAGGTCGAAACGCTAGCCGAATAAACGTTTTTATCGGCCTTGTCCAGGCAAAAAAATTCAAAAGTGTAATGATTATTCACTGTTCTCGTTATCGATTTTCCACAATTTTTTTCTCAAACAAGCTCTCTTGGAAGAGATAGTTTTTTTTTTTTTAATTCGATCATTATTAGTCGATTTTTTTAGGACCATGAGCGCAACTTTTTGCGTGTATTCTAAAGAAATTAGACTTAATGATGACAGCAAAAAAGTTCTTGATTTCAGATTTTTCAGAAGTGTTTCGTTTCGTAACGTTTTTTTTATCTGCCTATCGACTTATGATTCTCTGTAAGAAGTTTCAATTCCGACTATCGCGAGAGTTTCATTCGTTGACTAATTCTTTTCCCTCTTACTTATTTTTTCTGTAGTTTTCCTTATCACTTCACCACACGTCCTCTTCATTTACTTTCTCAATTTCTCGTCTCTTTTCTTGTTTTCCTACTCATTTTCATCATTGCATCTCTTCTTGGCTCAATAATAGTTGCTTTTGTCGTTTCTCTACTTTCGAATTCAATTCGATGACGAAGAAGTGAAACTGGTTGAATGAATGCTCTCGTTAGACCTCGTCACTAGGAGTATCGATCATCAACCGGCTTGCTTGACATTCAAATGAAGAAGACTATTTTAAAACCTCAGTGAACTTTACATGTAAGGATAATTTTTTCATACTCTCGGCCTGGATCAATCTTTGAGAGGTATATGCATTCGACTTCATTAAGCATAGTTCGAGGTGATTGGTTGCACACTTGGGCTTTAACTAGATGCTGCTATCTTCTCAGACAAGTCTGCTACAAATCTACCGACTTAGGAGGGACGAAAGGCTTGGTGAGCCTGGGGCGCAGGACAGAACTATCGTCCACGTGTGTATCGTACAGCACCTCTAACTACTGCGTCACACGCGGGACGATAACAACATAAATCACATTTATATCGGAAAGTTCTTGGAAACCACTCAGATGTTACTAGTAATAGTACATTTTTGTTGCGCTCTTTCTATTCATTTTATGTCTTGGTTGTTTGTTTTACTGGAACTCATTGACCATTGACAAATATCAAAAGCGTCACCCACTACGTAATGTAAGTTGAAAATAAAACGGATATAATAGAGAGAAAACGAAAGAATGGAAGAGTAGAAGGGAAGAGAGAATAAATTGAGAAACAATCGATTGAGTGTACACAATAAGGAATTGCCGAGAATTTCAAATATCCTGACAACATATTTTTAAGCTTTTCAAAATATAGAGGTAATGTCAAAACTACCAGCCGTGAGCAATCAATCATTGCAACGTTTTTCACTTTACACACGTGCACTGTGAGTTGTTCGTCGTCGAATTCTTCATATGTTAGGAGTATACTCCCTTACAAGGGATTGATTTAAACGAAAGGCACCGTGATTCTGATGAGGCTGAAAGGCCGAAATATGTGTATAGCACTATATAAATGACATTATAGACCTCGCGAACGGTTTGAAACGTGCTGTCAAGATGTCTCAATTTTAAGAGAGGCTTTGAAAAAACAGTCGATTATAAAGGTATTATCAGATTCCAAACAATTCCGAAGAGGACACGTAATAAACTTTCTCACCCAGTTGGTTTTTCTTTCAGTGAAGCGACGTGTTCCTATAGATTTTCTTTTTTCTCATCTTTCTTTCAAATAGTTTGTTTTTATACTTTACATAGCCATGACGACACCTTGTTGCTATTATCACTAGAGATCTCATGCATACGGTAATCCCCGCCGTATGACGTTGTTAATGAATGTGTACGGAGTTTTCATGTGGTGTTGATCTTCATAGGAAATCATATAGGCGAATGATTATTGTCATTTAGTAATAGTGGCATTAGATTGTTGGTGTTTCTATGGTTACCGTTACTAATGCTGTCTTCAATTCACCACATTCTATTTTCTGTACAGTTACGACTGAAAAGATTCATGTCTTTTTTGTCACTGAAAACAACGATTGAACATTGTATTCTTCTCCTATTGGCATTCCTTTATTGGAGAAAAATTATCAGCTATCACTGGCCGATGTATTGCGGACAATATTCACATGTTGCATTTATCGAAGACATGGGGATTTGAACAAAAAAAATCTTCTCAAATTGACTTCTTTTCCGGCAATTCTTTGAAGAAAGTGTTTTTCTATTCCTTTTTTCCCGCATTATGCATTCCTATTTAGAGAAGAAATGTTCTACATCTGTAAAATAGTGAAGTGTTTTGTTCTATTCCCAGGTATCTACAACATGAATGACATCATTTGATGTTATTTTGCATGGCGTGTTAATCTAGCGAATTTGGTTTTTTTTTGCGTCATAATCATCAGAGAGGGGGTGTGGAGAGCGAAGTGGCTATTGATGCAGTCCATCAGAGGAAGCAATCAACCTCCTCCCTCAACGCTACCCTGCAATCAACGTGGGAACAACGCCTTAGTCACGGCTATTTCTAAGATTACAACGAGAATCGACTCGACCAACATTCTACGACATTCATGAAAAAGCCGAAAACCTCAAGCAACAGCTGAAGAAGCACGTGAATATTCGAGGATCTCTGTGAAGGATGAATGAGAGGAATGGAATCTAATTGAAGAAGTACTTGGATCCCCACAGTGAGTTGTGATGATGGATCGTGTAAAAATCAAGTGTAATTGTGAAAGACGATGTTTGTCTGTAGAAAATTCTCTCACCTGTGTTAATAGAATCGTTGGTTTTTTTTATCAAGTCATAGACGGCTTTTCGGAATAAGGCATTGGAAGAGCCTTCCAGCGTTTATGATGAACATGACACCTACCATTATGAAACAATTTCTACTAAAGTTTGTAAAGATTCGACCTTGGGAACGAGTCTGCTGAAATCCCCTAGTAACGAATTTGATTACTTCCGGAGTATTTATACATAAAGGCTTCTAGGAAATGATTCATTGCGGGATTAAGCTATTGATGACGAGAAACAAGGCTTAGTATTGTGAATTCAAGTGAAAATAATCTGCGGTGTTATCTTAAGTGTAAGCAAATACTGTTCTCCGGCATTTGTGTATATATATATGTGTTATATATATACATTTATGTATGCAAATGTACATCTTGTCTAAGTTATATTACGTAAATATACACACAACATATATATATATATATATATATATTGAAATTTTCTGAGCGACTGTGTTTTGAGGAGCTTGAAAGGCAGAACTCTTCAACGAGATGGATATGACATGTTTTGAGCTGATGGGTCTAGAGGTATACAGGTGCCTGTTTCGTCCCATCGAGACTCATCACTACCACCCTCCCTCGGTTCAGCCGATCCCCTAATCACCTAACTTGGGGTGATTTTTTCACTCGGCGTCTATTCCTTTATGTTATTATCCTACTTCAGGGGATCGGCTAAACCGAGGAAGGGTGGTACTGATGAGTCCCAATATGACAAAACAGGCGCCTGTATACCACTAGATAGACACCTCAACTCAAAACACGTCATACCCTTATCAGATTATTTCATTTTGAGCAGGTCTATCAAGTACAGTCGATAAAAGAATTCCCAATAAGTCAGAAAATCGATAGATTTTGACAAGCTTCTTCTTTGAAATGATTATGACTCACGCTGCAAGAGTTCCTCGAGGTGGTAGGCCACTGCTCAGCTATAAGAAAATTAGTGGAGTGGTGATTCAAATAGGAAGGATGGGAGGAGAGAGGTGTTCTGTGCGTGCAATAACTATTTTACAAAAAACCTCTTTTCGAAAAAAGCTCATAAATCCTTGGTTTGACTATTAATCAATTGCCACTTCATTTCAGTCTCTATGATGAAACACATGGTCATTTCATTGAGTGTATGGATCAAAAAGTACCGATAAACTCGACATAAATGTTTTGGGAGCAACGTTTCGGCAGTCTCGCCTTCTACTTCGCCCTTACTTCTTTCCAGGCTCTGAAGAAGGCGAGATTGCCGAAACGTCAGCTATCTGATGAAAGTTCATCATAGCACCTTGGGTCTGGCTTAAGAATAAAATAAGGAATTACTGAAGCATGCTGAGATAAATAGATAGTTGGTCTTGGGAATTTTTTTGTTCAGTTTTCAAGCTTACTTAGTAACAACATACACTTTTTTACTTAAGCACTTCATTTGATCGGTCATCATAGTTTGTTTTTCACTGTGCGGATCTAAGTACTTCTAGCATTCAAGTCTTTTACGGCTTCTTCTTAAACGGCGTATAATACTGGTTGAGAGAGTCTCCTTGCAATCACGAGGACAGCCTTGGTGTGGCGTTCCATAGGGCGTTGTTGTTGACTGCCGGAGAGAAGTGGGGGTGGAGCCCGGCTCTACGCGAGCTATGATCAACATCACAACCACTCGCCCAGGGCGCCCCCATTAGCATACAATAACATTCATACCCATTAAGCAACAGAGAAGGTCTCTTATACAGCTTTCTTTTGCTCACAGCCCCTAAGTTCTTTCATTTCTTGAAAGTTAATTCCTCGTTATTTTTAACGGAGTTTGACACGAGGTATTTATGATATCATTTTTTGAAACAGCTAACGTTTCGGCGGTTTCGCCATCTTCAGAGCTTGGAAGGATCAGCTGGTCCACAATCCAGTCACTCAAACACTTCGACTACTTTATTAGTGAAAATCATTAGACCTAGATTTCAACAACTTTTCATTCGAGTGCTTTCATAGACCTCGCTCCAACCAGTGGTACTCTGATTATCATACGACATGTCTTGGACATTTTATGAGGGCTGGTATAGCACTTATAAAACCTGTATCGCCCTTCCAGGCTCCTCATTAGTAAGGTGCTTTCGGTTCAGCGGATCCCTCAGGGGTGCACCCCTACTTATAAAGGAACCTACGCCGGATGACAAATCACCGCTATCAGGTGATAAAATTCAAAATCAGGATCACGAAAGGCCCAGAAAATGTTATGTGATTACTAGATTTCAATCTCTTCAAGCGCAGAATCAATCGCCAGCACAATAACAGTTTTTTACGAGTTTTCCACTGATTTATTCTCGTAGAGACCACGGAGCAGAAATCACATGGACTCGTAGTGTGCTTCCTGAGAATTCTCCCTTTTTGAACAGTGCTGAGGCTGAGAGATAGACGGTCTTGGGACTTATGGAAAAGTTATTGTTTATTCACAACAAGCCAGCGAATTCGCGGCGCGATGACGCGAGGATTGCTCGTTTTCACTTTGAGGAAAACAGGAAAAACGTGCGTGGGGCGGCTATAGAGGGTTTTATTCTAATTCATCCAGCTATATCCTCTCAATATGTTGTCGTCTATGCGTCGCTGGTGGAGTACGTGATTGCGTTTTTCACTTTGCTTTCCTTCCAAATACTTACCAAGGTAAGATCGACGAAGAAGATTAGCGCTGTCCAACAAGAAATATAGTGGAAAGTAAGTTGCACTATCCACAATAGTTGCTGTTGACGTGAGAATGCCTTGAAATCGATTTCTCTGACTTCCAGTCAAGTTGTCTCAACAAAACATCAACATAATATACCTTTCGTTTTGAGTGTTTTCCTAAGACCACACTCAAATTTCAATATGCCTGATAATATTTTTTGAGCCATGCATGTGGTTTGTTATAGGGCAATTTATAGAGCTCGCTACACGTGTTTCGGCCTTGACAGTCTCGTCGGTCGGGCAGTACCTTTCGTGTTTAGCCAGTTTTCTCGGGGTAATCCAGCTCCTATAGAGAGTTGGTGACGCAAACATTTTACGCGTGCCATTGAGTGAAAATATCACTGAATGGCCAAAACACGTGTATCGGGCTCTATAAATTGCCCTATAACAAACCACATGCTTGGCTTAAAAATGACTATCAGGCATATTAACATAATAATTCAGATAACTGATATACCCATTGAGGACCAAACGGTACGTGCCGCGCGACATCAAATCTCACTTCACTACTGTAATAACGGCGTCGCGTCTCGTGTGAAGGCAGGCGCAATGAGCCAGAAATGCATGCACATACATACGCATGCCGCCTCCTGGGACTGCCGCGCAAGCGACGGCGCGATGCCGCCTGCCTATCAGCGCTGGTCCTCAAGGGGTTAATGTCTTATTGAAACACTTGGGATTTCTCCTGAGACTGACCCGTTTTTATTCTCCATCAATCTGCTACCTTAGAAGTTTACAGTTATTGGGGTTATAGTTTTACCTTGAAATCAACATCACATCCTCGTTACACCTCTAGCAATGATTTCGCGCTCCACGGCTAATTTGGCGCTCCATGGACAATATTTATCGGAGCGCGTTATTCGCGGTAATCTTCTTTGTAGTCAGACAATCTCTCGTTCCGCTTGGTGTTCCACTAAATACCATTTGTAAAAATTTTCTCGAATTGAAAATCCCCTTGATTGTACTTTCTTTATGAGCTCAACTATTTGTGGAACTGGGTGGCTGCCTGACTGTTCCAGCTTCGATTTTGAAATTAGGACATTCACAACTACATTTTTAGTGTTTAGATATTTTGAGGAGATGCACTGTAGTGTAGAATGGTGGTAAAACAGGTATCGATAGCGCAATTGGTCAATCACACGCTCCTGGGGAAAGGGTGAAATGCGGGTTCGAGTCCCGCCCGGCGTGGAAGTTTTGCTCATCTCTCAACATTACTGGGTATATTTGTGAAGAGAGTGTTCATCTCCATCAATTTACTCACTTCAAACTTCACAGGATTGAGGGTTCTCTTCAAAATTGAAATTTTATCGTTTTCTACTTCCACAAATAATTTTGCGCTCCATGGACAATTTTCATCGGGGCGCGTTTCTCACCACGGATTATCTACTACCCAATCACACGATCTCTCGTTCCTCATCGCCATTAAGTAGATGTCCTTTTGAAGAGCTCTCATCAACTGAGAGTAATCTCGATTGTACTCTCTCTATGAGCTCAATTATTGATGGAAAAAGGAGGCTGGTCGGCTCAATTTTCTGATTTTGAATTTCCACAGTGATTAGGATTCTAGATTACCTCGATATCAGCGTTACATCCTCTTTCCACTTCTTGGCAACGATTTCGCGCTCCATCAGCAATTTAGCGCTCCATGGACAATATTCTCCGGAGCGCGTTATTTGCCGAGAATAATTTTCTCTAGCCTCAAACGATCTCTCCTTCTCATCCCTTCTTAATGAAAATTATTTTGAAATTTTTCGTGAATTCGAAATCACTTCGATTTTATTTCCTCTATGAGCTTAACTATTAGTGGAGAAAGGCGGCCGCCTGGCTGCTCCGACCTCGCTTTTAAAATTTTGGGTTGGCTGTTATATTTTGGGCTATAGACGATTGTACGCAAGAAAAAGCGTTAAGAAAAATGCCTGGCAATTATTTTTTGAGCCATGGATTCAATGATCTATCAGTGAGGACTGACTTATAGAGCCGGTTACACGTGTTTCGTTCTTGCGATCTCGTCAGTCGGGCAGAGACCCTTTCTCGTCCTTTGCCAATCCTATGTGGGTGCTCCACTCTCCACACTAAGAGTTAGCGACGACGAACGATTCACACTCTATGTCCAGTGAAATTCTCACCGAACACAGAGTGTTGTACACTCGATTGCTCTTGGCTAGTATATTCAATAAATCATCTCTTTCGTTTCGAGTGTTTTCTTAGACCACTGCTCAAATTTCAATATGCCTGGCAATCATTTTTTGAGCCATGCACGTCAGTGGTCTATTGAAGAGGGCTGACTTAGAGGTTTAGGGACTTGACTGTTAAGAAAAAAATTCCAGCTATCAAAGAGAAGAACACAAAATCCAGTGAGTGGTGATCCCGTGTTGTTGCTAGTAGTGTTGTGGGTGCAAAACGACGATCGGCGCGCGGGGAACATCTGGTTTTTACGTCGTCGGTCAACACACCCCATTAGAGAGAGAGTGTATTTCACTCCGGGAGCCAGCCAGTACGTTCCCCGAGTGTTCCCCCATGTGCCGTTGATGACGAATCTCTGGTCTTTTCATCTCTTTTTTTCTTTTCTTTTTTTTTCTTTTTTTCTCTTTCTAAAGGGCCTATCATTGATCGGCGATGACAAAGTGAGAGGAGGTTAGGTTATAGAAGTTCTATAGCTTTGCGTTGTATGGTTTCTCGTCTGTTTCTGTCAGCACGCGAGTAGGAATTGAAATTTGCTTGTAAATAGTGAAGAACAATGTTTATGATCTACTCCATGATGTTGAGTGACGTGCAAAACCGTAGACGTCAGGCGGTACTCGAACCCGCATTTCACCCTTTCCCCAGGAGGGCGCCTGCCTTAACCAATTGCGCCATCGACGCCTTTTTTGTCTGTCACTCTTTCAGTCTTGTGATACTCTTATCGTTGAGAATACGACATGTAGGGGGATATATTTCTCGGAAATCTTCCCCCACATTCATGGATTTAGTGGTTTTCTTGACGAGACGAGGCCAGTGCGAGTTCTTTAAGAGTTCAAATCTATGTAATTCAACTCTCAGATTAGGAAAACTAGTATAACTAATAAGTTTCTGCTGTCAAAAAGCTCACAACTTTTTCTATTCAGGAAAAACTTTCAGTTAATCTGTGCCTGAAGCCCAGGGAAGAGCCCTTTAGGGAACGCGGCATAATCGATATTGCCGGTGGTACGCGATTTCCGTTTTTAAACGGAGATTTTTTCTTTGTATCATCGAATATTTTTAGTTTTTTAGAACTGATCTGATAGAGCATGATTTTCTCTACAAGATTGTAAACTTTTTGTGAATATAGAACTTGTATGTGCGAAGAAAATTCCGAATGTGAAACGTAATTTTACTTTCGCTTTCATAGTACGCTGTGAATATTTTTCGGAAACCAGCTTGAGCTTCAAATTCGCCGAGATCTAGACCATCGAATGAGCTTCGTATAGTTCAATGAAAAGTGATCGACAGACTTTAGCTGAGCAAATAAGGCAAGCCGAATGCAAACTAAACTTTATTCTTGTTGTTTCAGCGTATTACAAAGGCTTTCTTGGGAAACGGAGCAAGGTATCGGAATCTCCGAGATTTAAGCCTTAGAATGAGCACATAGGTTCTTGATAGAGAGCTTTGTTTAGTGAATCAAGCCCCCTGAATTTCGAGGGTTAAAAATGACCCTTTGCCCGCAAAGGGTTAATAGATAGGGTCACTCCTTGGAATCCATATGGCTTACCCAACTCGAAGAGAAGGAGAAGAAGCGAGCATCATTCTAAATTTGTATTGTGTTCTTTGATACTGACTTTGATCTAATCGCTTAATCGACTGAAAACCTCCAGAGTGTTTCTTTCTATCAAGATCAAAGATTGCTCTGAGTGAAGTCTTCGAGAGAGAGAGAGAGAGAGAGAGAGAGAACGAGAGAACGAGAGACTCGTCTACGGCCGGCGCCACCTCTGCCCCCCATAGCTTTTTCCTCTTCGAATCAGGGTAGCTCTCCCTTATCGTCATCGTTTGATCAAGTTTTTTCCCTTTGTTTCGGATTAAGTTTTGGTGTGAACGAGGCCACGCCTGCTGCCGTTTCCCAGCTATGGATAGGGTTCATTTTATATTTCCGGCAATTCGATTTGAAACCTTCTGATCACTAAAACCTTCGTAAAAATGCCGCAAACAGTCGATATTCTCTTGCAGGTGTGGTCTGCATACTCATTGTTTGTTGAGTTACTCATAAACAGGCAGAAGAACGTGTTTGGCGCAGTGTTTAGGGTTACCTGCGTCACACATACGATAGATGGATGGTTCGATCTTGCGCTGCGCCCATTGGCTCACTAAGCCTTTCGTCCCCCAGAGGTCGGTGGTTGGTACCAGACAGGTCTCAGACTTGCCCGAGAGAAGGATAAAGATAAGCAGCACGGATTCGATTCATCCGGGAGGCCACCGCCGAGTCAGTTAAAGGCCAGATGTGCATTCGATCACCTCGAACGATGTTAGGAATTGAAGACGAAGGCATGCTGCATCCCTCGGGATTTATCAGCGCCGAGAGCTTGACTTTCCATAATCTTGTCCCTCTTTTTCTCCATAAGTTCGTTTAATGCTACGTCGCTGCATCGTACCATAGAAATGGCTAATCAAAGAAGCAATAACAAAGCATTAAGCTCTCGGCGTCGATCAGTCCATGAGATATGCGCCATGCATTTGTCTTTGTTTTTTAGTTCGGTATGAGAAGATTGAACGGATGTTTGGCCTTTACAATGACTCGCGATGGCCTATCGGATGTATGGAGTAAGTACTGCCCGTCCTCCCCGACAAGTCTGCGATCAGTCTGGTACTGATTCACCTACCCAGGAGGGATGGGTGGTTTGGTGAGCTATGCGCACGAGATAGAACCATCGAGCATGTGAGCGATGGACAGCATCAATAAACACTGCGCCACATGCGCTCTGGAAGTCTTATATCGATGATTATTTGCGTTATCTGTATTAGGTTGTTTCACAAGTGTTGGCACTAGAGCAATGAACACCAGATTTTTTTTACTAGGAGCGGTTGAATTTGCATGGTTTTGGCACCGTCCAATTGCCTTTTATCTTGCTCTAAGATGGAGCTATTCGGGGAACAAATTCGCTTGCTAGTCATGAACGAATGGAGCATTGGGGAAAGTGCTATTGAAGCGGCGCGCAAGATCGATGGAGCTTGGGCGTTGATAAGGTTGCAGAAAGGACGGCTGGGAAGTGGTTAGCGAAGTCCAAAACTGGAGCAGAACAGTCTGGAGGATCAGTCGCGCTCGGACCGTCCACAGAAAGCGCCATTAATGATGCACACCTCCATTCAATGATACGTTAGCTGATTTTCTCCCTTCTTCATCTCCCTTCTTCTTCCCCTTCTTCTTTAGGTTGTTCCATAGGTCTTGGCACTAGAGCAGTGAACTGAGCAGTGACTGGAGAGAACAGTCTGGAGGATCAGTTGCGCTCGGTCTGTCCACAGGTAATTCTATTCATCCACTGCGCCGCTTCACTAGCATCTTCCCCAGCGCGCCTTTCGTGCATGAGTAACAAGCGAATCTGTTCCCATGATAGCTCCATCTTGAAGCAAGTATAGGCAAGCTATAATCCAAAATGTTCGCAGGTAAATGCGCAATTGAATGATACTAAAATCATGCAGATTCAATTACTTCGATTAATGAAATTGGCGCATATTGCTTTAGCGCCAAAATCTACGAAACGACCTAATAATATCGAGTACCACTTTATCGATACGACCGCTTACATCTGGTTACTAGTTTATCGGAGTGATTTTTTCTCTCCTCTGAGCCCTAAGCGCGACACAACAGATTTCTCATTCCCCATCGTTCCTCTGTGATTGATCATCGGCCACGATGACGACGATGATCAATCGCTTTCAGCTTGGCAGTATTTGAAGTATCGTGACTTTCTTCAAATTCATCCTTACTGGTTTCGAATATGTTCGTGACTATACTCTAGAAAAATGCTATTTCCATACGCTGACCCGTTTGAGACCACGGACTCACGGCTTTTGCATCTCTAACAGACAAGGCTGGACGAACTGCTCCACGTCCTCTGCGTCTCTGACCGTCAGCATGAGAACGCCATTGAATGTATTATTGTGTCATCCATTAAAATTAAACAATGATGCATTCAGTGCGTTTCCATGGTGAGGGTTAGAGATGCGGAGGAGGTGAGGTG